CAAAACAACGACAACAAAACACACCCTCTTCTGACAAGCATCGGCAGTTTCCAGGTCGACTTGGTCGTCGCGAGCGGTTTCTTTTCTAATCTGGCTGGAGTTCGGCAGGCTTCATGGCTGTGTCAAGAAAAATGGTTTGCCCAAAATGGGTTGCCCTGGATGGAAACAAGGACTCAAAGCCGCGGGAACCCCTTTGTTCCCTTTCCTGGTGGTGAAACAGTTTGACCCAAGATTTGCGTCGCATTGAAGTAGCCAGGTGCTCCGGTTTTTCTGTATATATGGGTATGGGTCAAAATTAAACCAGGGGACCAGGTTTTGGTTCATGTTTCTTACCAGGGTTCCAGCTGGGCACATTTGACCCACAGCCGTGGCATGTTTCTTCGGTGGCTTGCTACACCGGTCTGACGTGGGCTTCAAGAGCTTGATAGGCTTCATTGGGGATTCCATGTCCTGAGTTCGATGGTTCCAACTCTTGAAATTCTGCCGACTTTTTATGGCGAGCTCCCCGGAAATCTCAAGAGATCATGATAAACGTCCTTTGGGGATCCCTCGATTCAGGTTTTGGAGTTGCAACATTTGCAGATCAGAACGAACAAACCGCACACCAAACATGGCCAAAGTACAACGAACATTGGAAGCCAATGCCGCAAAGTAAATACCTTCGAAGCGGCCCAGCCCAAACAGCTTGCCAAGTGTAAACACCCTCTGAACCACACACACCTCAACTCGCCAACTTGCAAGGTGTAAAAACCCTCTGGGGCACACCCAAAAAAAGCCCCAAAACTTGCCAAGTGTAAAAAACACCCTCTGGGGCACAACCAAAAAAACAGAGAAATCGCCAAGCAGCCTCTGGGCAACAAAACCACAAAACAAGAACCTCCAAAAGCGCCGGGCCAAAGCTCCCAAAAAGCTCAAAACGCGGAACACGCGCCCAGTGCGCCGGGATGATCGGCTCCCTGCTGGGGGTCTCCACGGTGGGTACCTTCGCCGAGAGCTCCGCCGGCGTGGCGGACGGCGCCAAGACGGGCCTGGCGCCGCTGGTCACGGGCACGTGGCCTGGAACGCAACCTCTCCTTTTTAGGTGTTTTTGTTTTTTGTAAGTCGTTGTTTTTCTTCGTTCTTTTTTTTTGGGTTGTGTTTCCTTTTTGTTTGTTTTACTTTTTTCCCCCGCCGGGAAAGATAGGTGTCCTTTTACACATGTTTTGCTTTTCTTTTTTTAATGCTGGGAAAGATAGGTGGCCTTTTCTGAAGAGGTTTTTTTCTTCCACTTACCAGGTGTTTGTTTTTTGCGGAAGGTCAGCGATGGCGGGGAAGGCTTCCCATGCAAGTTCCCCTTGGGAACCGGGCAATTCCCATTCCGTGGTCGCTTGAAAGGATCGATCCGGGAGAGGGATGGAAGGAACGTTTTCGGCATTTCCAAACTGCAAGGGGCTTTCAACTAACGGGTATCATGTACAGAGCATATGTTTGTTTGTTTTTGTCGGTCTCGAGTTGTTTGTCCCAAGAAGTGTCACTGTTCTCTTCGCTTTCTCAAAAGCCTTGGCAGACGTATCTTCTGGCACATCTGTACAACAAGCTTGCTTGTAATGCTGCTTGTTTTCGAGCGTTAGGCTTTTTGGACATAGTTTTGGTGAGCGCAAGTTTCTAAACCGGTGTGTCGACACAGCATCTGCCAACTCGCTGATTGACCAGAGCTACATGCAAGATATGGTGCATTCCATTGGACAAGACACCCAGAAGCTTGCTCGCTGCATTGTGAGCACGCATTTGCAAACATGGCCATGAATTTGAATGGGGCCCCACCTAAGTGATGTCCACCAAAGGGTCCCCTATTAGAATTCACCCCCAACATGTGGGCAGAGATGTTGTGCAAGCTCTGCTTGAAGAGCAGGGGATTGCAACAGATGGCGGTTGCAGTGCCCGTCTTCCCTTGGCCCACTTGGATGTTCAACCAACTTAGTAGGCTATATTATAACCATGCTTATAACTGTGCTAACTGGGGTTAAGCCCTTGCCATGGTTATCACCTACTTACTACGTGGTTTGAACCTCTTCCGCACTTCAGGTGCTTCTTCCTGTCTGTATTCTTCTCGCCCATTGTGTCTGCCGTGCCGCCGTTGGCTTCGGGTGCGCCGGGTTCGAAAAGCGACGGTTCTTCGGTCGTGGGACAGACCTTTGGAACGTCTTTGAATATGAATCGGAACCGATGTGCCCCGGCCCGCCCAAAAAACACAAATCAATTCCTTCTGGTTCCTCCTTCTGGTTCCTCCTTCTGGTTCTTCCTGCTGGTTCTTCCTTCTGGTTCTTCCTTCTGGTTCTTCCTTCTGGTTCTTACTTCTGGTTGTTCCTTCTGCTTGTTCCTTCTGGTTCTTCCTTCTGGTTCTTCCTTCTGGTTCTTCCTTCTGGTTCTTCCTTCTGGTTCTTCCTGGTGGTTGTTCCTTCTGGTTCTTCCTTCTGGTTCTTCCTTCTGGTTCTTCCTTCTGGTTCTTCCTTCTGGTTGTTCCTTCTGGTTCTTCCTTCTGGTTCTGTCTTCTGGTTCTTCCTTCTGGTTGTTCCTTCTGGTTCTTCCTTCTGGTTCTTCCTTCTGGTTCTTTCTTCTGGTTCTTCCTTCTGGTTCTTACTTCTGGTTGTTCCTTCTGCTTGTTCCTTCTGGTTCTTCCTTCTGGTTCTTCCTTCTGGTTCTTTCTTCTGGCTCTTCCTTCTGGTTCTTCCTGGTGGTTGTTCCTTCTGGTTCTTCCTTCTGGTTCTTCCTTCTTCTTTTTTTCGTTCTGGTTCTTACTTCTGGTTCTTTCTTCTGGTTCTTCCTTCTGGTTCTGTCTTCTGGTTCTTCTTTCTGGTTCTTCCTGCTGGTTCTTCCTTTTGGTTCTTCCTTCTGGTTGTTCCTTCTGGTTCTTTCTTCTGGTTCTTCCTTCTGGTTCTTCCTTCTGGTTGTTCCTTCTGGTTCTTCCTTCTGGTTCTTCCTTCTGGTTTTTTCTTCTGGTTCTTCCTTCTGGTTCTTCCTTCTGGTTCTTTCTTCTGGTTCTTCCTTCTGGTTCTTCCTGCTGGTGCTTCTTTCTGGTTTCTTCTTCTGGTTCTTCCTTCTTCTTTTTTTCCTTCTGGTTCTTACTTCTGGTTGTTCCTTCTGCTTGTTCCTTCTGGTTGTTCCTTCTGGTTGTTCCTTCTGGTTCTTCCTTCTGGTTCTTCCTTCTTCTTTTTTTTCGTTCTGGTTCTTACTTCTGGTTCTTTCTTCTGGTTCTTCCTTCTGGTTCTGTCTTCTGGTTCTTCTTGCTGGTTCTTCCTGCTGGTTCTTCCTTTTGGTTCTTCCTTCTGGTTGTTCCTTCTGGTTCTTTCTTCTGGTTCTTCCTTCTGGTTGTTCCTTCTGGTTCTTCCTTCTGGTTCTTCCTTCTGGTTCTTCCTTCTGGTTGTTCCTTCTGGTTGTTCCTTCTGGTTCTTCCTTCTGGTTCTTTCTTCTGGTTCTTCCTTCTGGTTCTTCCTTCTGGTTCTTTCTTCTGGTTCTTCCTTCTGGTTCTTCCTGCTGGTGCTTCTTTCTGGTTTCTTCTTCTGGTTCTTCCTTCTTCTTTTTTTTCCTTCTGGTTCTTACTTCTGGTTGTTCCTTCTGGTTGTTCCTTCTGGTTGTTCCTTCTGGTTCTTCCTTCTGGTTCTTCCTTCTGGTTCTTCCTTCTGGTTCTTCCTTCTGGTTCTTCCTGGTGGTGCTTCTTTCTGGTTTCTTCTTCTGGTTCTTCCTTCTTTTTTTTTCTCCTTCTGGTTCTTCCTTCTGGTTGTTCCTTCTGGTTCTTCCTTCTGGTTCTGTCTTCTGGTTCTTCTTGCTGGTTCTTCCTGCTGGTTCTTCCTTCTGGTTCTTCGTTCTGATTCTTCCTTCTGGTGCTCCCTTCGGTGTGTGTGTGTGTGGCTTTCCTTCAACCATTCCAAAGAGGCTACCCTCCGCCTCGAAAAAAAAAAAAACAAATTACAATCAAATAAATCCAAAACAAAAAATATCGACCCAAGTCATCACCAAGATCTGCACCAAAAACCCGGAGCGAAGGACCTAGGCCCGTAGACACGAGGTGCTGTCCAATACCTCAGGGAGGTTTAACGGAGACATTTGTTTTGCCCTTGACCAACATGAACAGAGAAAAAGCTTCAATTCCTAGGTCTGGGGCTGGTCTCGCTGACAAACATTTGGTGCACGTTGCCGGCCATACCAGCTTGGGGAAACGTGTCAAAAACACGTCTCCCTAGATGTGAAACTGCCGGTCCAATCCCAAAGTGATTCAAGCTCAGATTGACGTTGCCCATGAACACGCTAAACTGACGCACTAATATGGGTGTGGGTCAAAATTAATCACCAGGGGACTGCAGGTTTTAGTCCATGTTTCCAGTTACCAGGGTTGCATTCTGGGGACCCTTTCTTGACCCACACCCAGTAGTTTTTTTTTTTTTTCCTCCGGCCATGCTGCGTGTGACTTTGGTGCTCCGAAGGGTCCCCGGAAGAAAGCCGTTGACTTGTGTTTAGGGGTCCGCTGAGTACAGAAGGTCACTGGAGAAATGCAGAATTCGCTCCTTTTGTGCTTGGCAGTTGTTGTAGACCATGTTGTCCTTTACCTCAAGGGCTTGATGTCGAGTTTTCTGACAGCAAAAAGCCACCTGACCTGAGCTGCCAACAGTAGTTTAACTTTGGAGTGCAACTGTGGTATGCTGGGGTCGCTTTCTATCTGATTTGACGCGCTGTTATGTTTGAGTCATTGCCATACTGTTCTTTTGAGCAATGTGACCAAAGGGTCACCAAGCCATGAGCGCAGCACAACGTGCTGGGCGTGTTTGCTTTCCTTGGGGAGCTTTTACTTGGAAACCACAGGGAGCCAACAGGAAAAGGGGAGACCAAGGAAGAGCAAAGGAAACCAAAGGGAAACCAAAAGGAACCTAGTATCGGGGGAGGGGGGGTCCCTATTAGACCAACCCCGAATTCAATCACACTTGGCTGTCCAAGAGACTGAAGTCAGTTATTAAGTCAGCACTGCACAGGTAAGGAAATCGGTTGATGCCGATCACAGTTCCTTTCTAGCTCGCTAGAAAGGGTTTGTCAATAAGTGTCAACATAGTGGGACCTCACAAATCCATGATTTCCTTTTGATATCCCTTTCGTTATACCCACAAAAGCGTGCAAGGCATCGAACGATTCGCACGACAATGCAGAGACAGCCCCTCACGAAGCAGCCCCACCAGAGATATAGGAGTGTTAGGTTTAAATCACTGAGCGACATGACGCATGTAAGCGCCACCGGCTTCAACACGAGCGCTGGTTCCCTTTGCAGCCCGCGGTTGTTCGGGTATCGGCCTGCGCATTCGCAAAGCGGCGTCCGTGCGGCTGCGCGCCTGAAGCGAGAAGACTGCCCGTAGCCCCTGTTCCACCACGCTTGGAGCGCCGGGCCAGCTGACAAGAGGCAGAACACTGCCTCCACGGCATCGCGCTGGCCATCCAACACCAGCCACGTGCACCGCGCACCGCGCCAGGGCTGCGGTTGATGCCGCCGAAGCAGTGGAGCGACAGGTTGCTCTATGCAAGTTGCCCCGCGCAAAGCATCTGCGCGTGAGATATTCTTTGCAAGTTGCTCTTGGCAAGCGCACTTGTCTGCGCAAGTGGCTTTGCGCAACTGGCGCTGCGCGAATGGCTCTGCGCAACCTGGTCTGTGTAAGTAGCTCTGTGTAAGTTAGTCCAAGGCCCTTCGCCATGCTTTCGAGAAAAACAAGCGGCCGCTGTTTTGCTGCTTCCCCTTGTTCTGAGAGGCCCAGTGTTGGCGCTGATCGGAGTGACGATGATGAGCTCTATCAAAGACATGGACTGGAAGAACGCAGAGGAGACCACCACACCCCGCGGTTTGGAGGATTTCTTGGCAAGGCATGTGTGTGTGTGTGCACACATGTGTGCGTTTAGCTGGGCTTGCAACGCAAAGTAGGTTGAGCTCCGCACGGTTTTCGTTTGTTTTTGGTGGGGAAATGGAAACGCACAGCGCATTTTGAGTGCCGAGCCTCAAAAAAGACCTCCAGTGGGCTTGGAGGGAAACGTCTCTTGAAAAAGGAGCGCCCTTTTTGCAACCGTGGCCAGTGCGGTTTCAGTGAATGATGTGCTGGGGCGCTTTTGACCGAGTCTTTGAAACCTTCCTTCCTTGCCGAAGCATTGCGCTCTAGTTGGTCGCAGTCGCAGCCCGGGAAAACACACAAGAGAAACACACTGGCCCTGCTGCAACGTGTCATCGACCCCTGTAAGGGGGTTGGTCCTCATTTTCGAGATTTGCATGAGGCATTCTTTGAGTTGTACACCTAAGCAAAAAAGTTTCAAAAAGCAGAGGGAACGCCAGCCTTGCTGATGTGCTGCCTGCCCTGTTGGTTTGCCTCGATCTCTCGCAACAACGCTGGCCGAGCGCATGTGAAGGTGACTGCACATACACACGATTACATGTCTGGCATAGTTGCGTCCTTGTTCCCCTCACTGTCTCTGCTAATTATTGCTCTGAATCTGGTGACATGGCTAGTGCTTGCATCTTTTGGCAGACAGACGGAAACTCGTTCTACGTTTGTGCCCAGGCCAGCGAGAAGCATTGCTTTTGCATGTGCCCGCCCCCAACGGTTTTGGGAATGTTTCTTATAGGGTGACGGGATCCGGGATTTCAGGAAGCTCACTACCAACACAAGGAGGCCAAAAGTAGCCCTATCCCAGAATTTCAGCCGTAGCTCCCTCCCCCAAGAGGCTCAAATATGTTCGCGTGGCATTTGTTAAGCTCTTATCGCAAGTTGATAGAAATCCATCCCTGGGGGTCTGGTGGAGGAGTTCATGTTGCCAAGCAGCAGCAATTCATGTGTGTTTCAAGAGGCCCCTCTTGGGGTTAGCAAGGATGGCCATCCATGGCAAGGATCGCAAGGATCGCATGGTGAGCCATGACCCAAGCGACCAAATGAAAGGCGGTTTGACCATAAAAAGCTGCGCTTTGTGAGGCTGCCCGCGCGGGGAAGAAGGGATGTGGCTCGTCTTCTTTTTCTTCTGGGTATCCTGAACACGGGGCTGGTTGGGAAAACCAAAAAAAACTCACCCTTGAAACCCATTTGTTCCAATCATCTATCCTAGCTGCAAACTCAGCCAGTGTCTAAGCTGCTTGGCAAGAGTATGTCTTTGTTTAGTCGGGGATCATTTGGTATCATATTGTTCAGGGATCCGGATATGTCCCCTCTTGCCGTGTTTGACTCATTATCTTTTTGGCCCACTTCAGCTAACGCTACCTTAGCAGGGATGTTTTAAGGCCAACACATGGCTATGACTTTCAATAGGGAGCCACCTCCATAGTGGTTGGTGGCTGTGCACCCCCCATGCGAATGTGCATAGGGTCCTGCATTACAATTCATAGCCATATGGTCTTTTTCGTTTTTTGGAGGCCCGGTACCCCTTTCTTGGCGGGCTGTCAAGGAAAACTAACCAAGACAACCCAACATTCAGCTTGGGGGTGCAGCTCCTAAGAAAGCACGACCTCCTTTCAGGCACCAGGATATGGACCGCAGGTTCTAGTCCATGTTTCCATTTACCAGGGGTCCATTTTGGATACCTTTTTTTGACACACACCCATTTGACGCTGAATCCAGGAGGCCATCCCTGCCTTCATCGCCATCGTCACCATGCCCTACTGCTTTAGCATCGGCTACGGCGGATTGGATTCAAAGTGTTTTGCAGGGCTCCTTAAAAGATACATTTTGCCCCATTGAAACACGGCTTTTTCCACCAAAGTAATGGGAAACCACCATTTACAAGGCAATGTTCAGGTGTATACTGTAAGGAACCCTGTTTTGTAACGCCTGTCGCGTCAACACACTTGGTGATTTGGTTTGAGCTTTTCGAACGCGCTGGTTCCCATCTACCCTGCACAAGAACCAGAGGTGCGAGTCTCCATCCAAGCCACCAACTAAGGGGAAGCTGATTGTATAGTTGGTAGCTGCATTGAAGTTTGAAGTATTTAGGGTTGTAGAGGTAGTGTTCTTAGTAATACTAGCGCTTGTTCAGAAAACAGCGCTAGTCATGGGTAACATTCAAGTTTCTCTACGGCTGTGTAGCATGCGCACGGCCTGGATGCAAAGCTTTGCTCAGTGGCTTGTCAGGTTTGAAATCTTTCTGGTAGTTGTAGATGTATAAGTATACCAGTACTTTTGCCTACCATGATGATTTGATTCCGGCTTAACAAATCTTTGTGCACTTTAGCGTACAGGGAAGAAATATTGGAGGCAAGTTGAGAAATATGTGTTCGGAGAGTTTGTGAAGGGACGTTGGGAACATTTGGGAAGAGGTCGGGAAATCCAGAAGAGCGTAGGAAAAGAGACCAGTGGCAAAGCGACATAGTGGGAGACTAGGAAACGAAGACGGATTAGCATCAGAGAAGCGTGCGTGCTGAGCAGACTTGCTTGAGGTATCGTTGCTGGACTGGGCTGTTGGCTCTTCTTCCAAATTCTGCTGGCGCCCATTCGGCTGTGGCGCAAAGAGAGCCCATTCGTGCGCTTCCAGGTGGGCGTTTCTGTCTGTCAATTTGGGAGGGATACGAGTGGACTCACTGCCCACACAAGGGCCACGCATGTTTTCATGCCCTTCAGGACAAGCACAACTTCTAGCCCTGGCATGTGCAATTGCACTACCAGTACTATTGGCGCGTACGCTTAGGTGTACTTCGGCAGAGTGTGCTGCTTATTCCGTGCTGCGCGCATGTGAGTTCGTGCGTGCTCCCACCCCCAAAGCGGCCTTCTTAGGTCAGCTTGTCCAGCACGGTCGAAGTAGCCAGCCCTCATCTTCAAGACTCGAAAACAGGCAGCCAGAAGCAAAACAACAAATGGCTGTGGGTCAAACATATGTAGCCAAAATGGAACCCGGCAAGTGGAAGCATGGACTAAAACCTGCGGTCCCCTGGTGGTTTAATTTTGACCCATATACAAGTAACGTGGTGCTCATAATCGAGTCTACCACACCTTCGGCATGCATGTTGGGCAATACCAGGCGGCAGCTCTAATCATAGAGCTTCGCTCTAGAGCCTTCCTCCCGACGAGTGAATGATCCAACAGAGTTTCTGCAAGGGGTGTGGACCCGGTGCCACCTCCAGCTAGCCCTTGTGCGAAGCAGCAATATTCGAATCGTAGATATATATATATATATATAATATATATATATATACACAATGGAACGCTTGCTATACATCACATATGGCGTGTCAGTGCATGAAGCCCGGGGGGGGGGGGGTGGGGCCGGGAGTTTCACAGACATGCAGCAACTGTTGGTTGGGATGTGGATCCTTGTTGCGCATGCGGGCCATGCCTGCAAGGCCTTTTCAGTGTTTCCTCTTCAAGTATGCGTGCTTGAAGCCAAGTCAGCCAGTTATCTACTTAGCTTGTCAGCTGAGCCCATTTGAGTGTTCACAGCTGCTTAACAAACTGAAAAGTGCAAGCGCCCACGACACGTGTTTGAAGGCGAAGGGCTGCCCCGAAGCGAAAGACTAGCACTGGGCTTTGGGGACTTCATCCTGCGAAAGTGCTGGAGAAAATGTGGATGGACAGAATCCTGCACCACATAAGAAACCCTGGAATGATGATTCCCCTGTAAATACCAACAAGCAATGATTTCAACCAGGATTCAAAGTGGTGCAGGATTTCGTCCATCCACAGTATTGCCCCGCCTGACCCGCCCCACTTGCATGCCCCCGCTCCACCCGCCAGCAGGCCCGCGAGTGCAGGCGCAGGTGACCGCCCACCAACCCACCCACAACGCAACCACAACCGACAAAGCCAGAAACAAAGACAAAAGGAAGCGCAATCACAAACACACACACGCACACACACGGACTCAAAAACAAATACACTCAGGAACATGCAAACACATGCGCAAACACAAACAAGCACACACACAAACAAACACACGCGCACACAAACACACACACACACAAGCACACAAACACACGCACGCACGCACGCACGCACGCACGCACGCACGCACGCACGCA